TTTATATAACATAATATTAATTATAATAATATAACATCAAAATGAACTTTTTGATTATTATTCTATTATTGTAGATGCCCTAACTGGAACCGTTACCAATAGTATGCATATCCGGTTTGGTGAACTTAATTTCTTGCCCGTCAGATTATTGCATGTTCCAACAAGTTAATCACGTATTAACTCTTTTTAATGTAGTTGAAAAAAAACAAAAAAGAGATAAAATCTGCCTTTCAAAAAAGAAGATAATAAGATAAAATCTTCCTATACAACAACCTAAAATATTTTTTTATAAATTAATTTTAATTTATTAAATAATAAATTTAAATAGTAAATATTAATTATTTTACTAATTATTAACTGTTTTTAATAATTAAATTAAGATAAAAATTATGCAGTCCTGCTGTTGTTTTAGAGGTGGACAAAGTTCGGTCAACGGACTGAGAACTGACGAGCGGGCTTTTTATCGAATTCTGTGTTCGGGTTTTTTTGGGCAGTACATTTGGGCGGGCTCCGATGTGCAGCCCAAAAATAGAAGCCCGATAACAGCCTCCCAATGAGTGATGACCGAAAAACCAAAGGCCGAAGAATTTTTATTGAGGGCCCTTGTTGAGCCCATTTTCTCTTTAAGGGCATGTTTGGTTGAAGCTTCCCCTATAAAAAGAATTTAGGGAAGTTGAGAAAAAATCAACTTAACTTGGCCCAAGTAATTAAATTTCTTGATACAAATATTGAGATAAAATATAATTGATTATAATAACAATATTGGTGATTACATTAGGTAGTTGATTACAAAAGGTATATAATAGATTATAAAAATATAATTGTTTGTTCCCAAAAAATAATTGATTACCTCATTTTCTAGCTAAAAAATCATGAGAAAAAAAAAAGTTTTCTAGAAAAGTTGGCATATAATCACTTACATTTCTATTATTAGCAATTATATATATTTTATCTCAATTTTCAAGTCAAGAAATTTAATTTCGTAGGCCAAGCCAAGCTAAATTTTGCTCTATTTTCATAAATTCTTTTTTCGAGAGAAGTTTCAATCAGACAAATCTTAAAAAAAGACCTTTGAACAAGATTAACTTCCTCCAAAATTAACATACATATATATATTTTCCTTCATAAATAAAAAAAAAATTATATTTACTCTTTTCCAAATCAATATTTTTCTACTTTTTACTTATTTTGCTTATTTTCTTAAAAATCATTTAATCTAACTTAACCATAACTATAATTTAAAAGGCTCACCCGAACCCAAATTAATTCATTTTGCATCTCTGATTTCTTGCTATAGCCAGCCACCATGAGTCATGACCACGACAATACACAAGCCCCAGCCTTAGCTCATCGTGCTCCTCTACCTCCTTCTCGTCGTTGCAAGGCTAACAGCCAAAAGACATTCGTCTACTCAACTAGCAACCAACAAACTTCTCTCTTTTCTAACATCTAGCATTTACATTGTCAATTCCATAACCGGAAATGATTACTTGAAATCTTTATAACTTCAAGTATGGTAGAACATGAATAATTCCTACTGTATTCGTAAATATTATCGTATTTTCTATTCTTAATGTGTGTAAGGTTTTTTTTTTTTATTTTCATTTTGATGTTGATTGAAATTTATCATGAGTTTATTAATTGATGTTTTTAGATGGAATTTGAAAAATTATTTGAGAATGATATTACAAGCTGACATTTACCTCGTAATTTGGTTAAAATTTGATGAATTTTTTTGCCTTTAATATAAATTTTGTGCCAATCAAAACCGAAAACACAACCAAAAAGAATGGTTAAATCCTCGGTTTAGTCCCTGAACTTTCATTTTTGAATTAAATTTACCCTCAAACTTCAAAAAGTACTAAAAAAATTCAATTTTTGAGACCAATTTTGTCCTTCCGTCAACGGAAGTACTGATGTGGCAAAATTCTCTGTTAAGAAATTCAATTTTTATTAATATTGAGTATTACGTGAAAATAAAGTAAGTGATATGGCATTTTTTAATTATAAAGTGTTATGATATGGTAAATTTTAAAGTAAATTATATAAATATAATTTAATAAATAATTATTAAATAAAAAATTTATTTCTTTTTCTTTCCCCCTTCTCTTCCCCTTTCTCCTCCCCTTGCTTATTGGGTTTGAAGGAACCAGTATTAGGTTTCTTCGAACTTAGCACCTAGGTTCAACCCAGCACGCCTGGGTTCGAACCTACGCCCTGGGTTCGATGGAACCCAGGTGCGGGTTCTTTTCCCTTTCTCATTTTCTTCTTCTTCTTTTTTTCTTCTGTTTCTTTGTTCTTCTATTTCTTACGTGGCTTCAGCTTGCTTGAATTTCAAGATCTAGCTACTGTTGGTGTTGATTGAAGGGATATTGTGTTTTTTTGCATTTTCCTTTTCTTACAAATTTGGTATAAGTTTGTAGTATGATTGATTTTTTGAATCTTTATAGATCTGGTATAAGTTTGCAGTGTAATTGATTTTTTGAATCAGATTTATTGGCCATTATTATTGTGTGAGGAACCAGCGTTGGGTTCCATTAGGGAGGAGGTTTGGGAAAAAATGAGAGGTTTGGTGAAGAAGGAGAGGTTTGGTGATTCGGATTCCATTTTTCTTTTGGTGATCATGTGTTGATCGGTGTGGTAAGGGATGACCGGAGCAATGAGGGATGATCAATGCTGGGTGGGTTGCAAGATGAAGAGGCATTAGAGGATAGAGGGAGACGAGAAGGGAGAAAAAGAGGGACTAGAAGATGAAGATGAGGGTATTTAAGGAATTTTAAATTTTTTAATATGTAAATTAATTAAAATGACATGGACAATAAAAATGACAAATTGGGTTAAGTTATTTTCCACGTCATTAAAGATTTAAAATAAGAATTGATTTCATGGCAACTTAACATGCCATCTAGCACTTTCGTTGGTGAAAGGACAAATTTGGTCCCAAAAATTGAAGTTTAGGGATTTGTTTAGTACTTTTTGAAGTTTAAGGGTAAATTTAGTTTAAAAATGAAAGTTCAGGGACTGAACCGGGGATTTAACCAAAAAGAAGAACCGATACAACAGACACAAATTTGGCTTGATATTCGGTTCACACTTTTTCTCAACTAAAATATTAGTTAACCACTCATGTTCGTCAGTTTGGCCACCGAATCAACTAATGCCCACTCACTGTGTTTGATGAGAAATACTAAGCATGTCACCATCACCATCACGATCACCATCACCAATCACAACGAGCCATTTTCATTAAATATCAAAAAATATATATTAATTCCAATTTTTAAAAAATTAAAATTGAAATTTTAAATT